AAATGGCAAATGTAGCTGTCTTTTCATCATATGAAGCGTCTCCACGATGACAGTACGCACACACTACAACCCAACGCAAACATTTCTATGGCAAGCGGTTTGGCGCCGAGAACCGATGAAAACAAACTCGATTACCATTTTTATTCTTTTTTATCAAGTTTGGATTTCGAGAAGCGTTGTTACTAATACAACAAACACATCACGTTTTAGCCATCGTTTCGGAAAACTGGATTCAGTATTTACATTTTCTACCATCGATAATAATTGACTGTAGAGGCTATACATATTACAAACAGAACCCCTGTTATCTATAAAAGATATAAAAACATGTTTGCATCATAAAACTGCGAAAAGAACACTTTAATAGTCGAAATTTTTCAAACAAAAACACCCAATGCCATATAAGAATATATGATAGAGCTGTTCCGATGTACGCAATGTTTACATTTTGTATCACGTAACAGGTGAAAATACTACACGTGCTTCTCATTGGCGAAGTGGTGGATACGACTTGCGGATGTACCTCAATATTTGCTCAGCTGTATCCCTTAAAGTAGCATAGCTAGCAATTTAGACACAAAATTAATACCGAAATATGTGTACTGCACTGGATTTTCACACACATCGCCAGAGCTGGCGTCTTGTTTTTATTATTAGAGACCTTACGATTAAGCGACGGCAACGGCAACGGCAACTCTCGGGGACTGGAACGGTCGCGCGGTTTACGTTGCCGTTTCCCGATTAAATTTAACCTTACGATTGCATGTACTCAGATTTTTGTGTATAAATACAGATTCATCAAATTCTAATATGCTGAGTCTTAGGGAAATTACTGTGTTCGCTCATGCTTTGAATGCAATAGATGATGACGAATATGCTCTGCTATACGGTGTAACTAAACCCAAAAGTCCTAGGATACCGTTTTGGCGTTATGAAGACTTTGATTTAGATCGAATCACAGATAATGAATGTTTAGCAGAATTTCGCTTCTTCCGAAATGATATTTACAACCTTGCTAAAATAATGGAATTGCCTGGGGAAATAAAATGCTATAATGGACTAAAAGTAGACAACATTGAGGGGTTTCTATTTTTTTGAAGAGGTTTGCTTATTCGTGCAGATATGTTGATATGATTCATAGATTTGCCAGACCTGAACCTCAGTTGTGCATGATATCGAATCAATTTCTGAACGTATTTCATGAACGATGGCATCATTTGCTCACTGATCTTAACCAGGCATGGTTGCAACCAGAAAATTTAGAGGAGTTTGCCACAGTTATACATTAAAAGGGTACAGCTCTTAACAACTGCTGGGGGTTCGTCGACGGGACTGTTCGTCCTGTTGCACGACCAGGTCGATTGCAACGTACACTTTATTTTGGACACAAGAAAGTTCATGCTATTAAGGTTCAATCCATTGCAACACTATCAGGCATGATAGCTAATCTTTATGGTCCAGTCGAAGGAAAAAGGCATGATAGTGCAATGCTTGCCCAATCTGGTATTCTCAACATGTTACAGCAATGTTCATTTAACATGCAAGGGGTTATTTTATGCATATATGTTTATCCTGCATACCCTCTCAGACCACAATTACAGGGCCCTTTCCGAGGAGCTGTAGTAACAGAACAACAAAAACAATGGAACAAATCTATGAGTCAAGTGAGAATAGCTGTTGAATGGTTGTTTGTGACATTGTAGATTACTTAAAATTTTTGGACTTTAAAAACAATTTGAAAGTACGTTTGAGTGCAGTTGGGAAAATGTATGTTGTGTGTGCTCTTATAGAAAATGCAAGAGCATGCTTGTATGGCACAGCAACAGTAGAATATTTTGGCATTGACCACCCACTATACACAATTACTTCATGTAAATGAATAAAAAAGGCCATTGTTCATAAGAAATTCTTTCAAAACAGAACATTAATAAATGGATTTAAATGCAAAAATTTAAACATTTAGACAATAGTTGTAAAATATGAAAGACAGCATGAAACTGCATAGACTTTTTTAAATATTTACTTTAAAAAACTGAACAATTGAGATTTGTAAGCAAGTTTACTTTGATCTGTTATCATCACAGCATAAACAAAATAAGGAGGCTGTTCTCTGGTAATAGTCTAAGTCATCGTTCATTTTCCAGAAGTTAACTTATTCAAAACGGCCATCATGTATGGACTTTCCTCCTGCTGGCGCCTCATCAACTGCATGAACTGCTGCTGTTAAGTCCTTTGCAATTTGACAAGCTGATTCAGCACAGAATTACTTTGATTTTGGGCTACTTCCATTGCTTTTTTTCTAAGTTTCATGTCATTTTCTTTTAATTCTCAATCTTTGCCAGTTTGCTGCTGCATTATTTCTAATTCCTTCTTCCTTAACTTAGCCCCTCTCTCACTTTTTTCACTTAAATACAAAACCATGTCAGAACCACTACTGTGTTTTCTTTTGGCTGTTTTTACCTCAGAATTAGTATACTCTGATCTCTTGCGAGTTTCACCAAATGATTCAAAGGATTGCAGTATCATTTCAGCTGCCTGACTGGCTTCCTCCTCAAGTTTTCTCTTCTTTTCCATTAATGCTCTTTCGTGCTCCACATTAGCTTAATGAAACAATGTGATAACTTCATCCATATAAAGATCTACTTCATTCTCCTGGCATGATATTCCACTTGCAAGATTCTCATAACGGATCTTCTTCTTATGTTTCTTTTCGAGCACAGGATATTGATCACGTACAGACCTTTGAGTTACACGAAACGTTGGTGTTTCCAAAGAATTCAATGAAGTAGCTATCTTCATCCATGCTTCTCCTCTTTCAGGAGATGCTTTCCTACTGCTCCATGGTTGAATCAACAAAATTTCTCGCACAAAAATCTGATCATGCAGCTCAGTCCATTTCATAGGAACACTAATTGAAAAGAAAAATAATGAAAAATTTGTGTGAAGCCTTGACTTTGCACAATATTTTAACGCCTAAAATTGTAATAAATAACTAGTCTAATATCAAAACAATTTACCTTAATGCTGTTCTTTCTGAACACATCGATTGTTTGCGCACTCTATTAATGCCGTTCTCGCACAACGTCAAAATGACGTCGTGCACGCTTAGCGAGAACGGCGCATGCGTACACGTATTTACGCCCACGTTGCCGTTGCCGTTCGCATCAGAGCCCTCTATAAGAAAGAGTTGGGACATCTATTGTTATCCGTTTCGCTTACGTTGATTGGGCAATATTGATCACCTGATCAATTTCCGCCATTTTGGTTCCTAGTTTTGAATTTTGAGTTAGTGTTTATATAGCAATTGCTGCTAGTAATACAGTATTTTGAGATAATATTGCGGTTTTTTTTATGGATAAGTGTGTAATAACTGATTGTTGAAGGCTACTAAATGTCATTACATATCGCAAGAATCGAGGATTACGAAAAAAATGAAAGAAATGCCTTTACGTCGAACTCACGAAATTTGATTGAGTATGGTGATTGTTGTGCTGAACTGCTTTTGATATAAGGTTCAATTAACTGACTCAAGTAGAGAAACATTTTTGGGCCAAATAACATTGAAAAGTTTGTGCTGATGCAGTTTCAATAGTTTTCTTACTCCAAAGCTTGTTTTTTAATCGAAGATGATTTCTCATTATGTTCTGAAATTGGTCAATCTACAAACCTCTCAATTCTCAGCCACTTCCACACTAAAACAACTACACCAAATCACAGAAACTCTTATGATTTTCCATGTTGTATTTTGTATTTTTAGTTAATCATTTAAAAATGAAGTAATTATAATTAGGATATTCACTGAAACAGCTGAGTACAATATATTTTTAGTAATGAATTTGGTAATGAATGATTCGAAGTTTCGAATAAAGTCTTGTCTAAGTATTTGATAACACTGATGCCAGGATAACATTGCCGCTTGCCACCAAGCTTAAAGATCTTGAAAACTTGTTACAGAGTCGGAACATAAGCCGAGAAAACACGTTCACGTACGAAAAATTCTTCTTACAATGGGTCACGATCAATTTGAAGCACGAACTAGTAAACCGCGAACGAAGCTCAAATCAATGAAATTAAATCAGGTGTGCCGCAAATCGTTAAAAAAACGCAAAGAGCTTGCTATTATTCCTAATATATTTGATACTACCATGGAATAAGCTTAAATTGCCTTCTTCTTTTGCATATAAACCCAATTTCCAATAGTATTATTATAGTTTCACTTTGCAAGTAGGAACCAAAATGGCGGCTCCGCGCTCGCCCCAGACCGTTTGTCCCAACTCTTATTTATAGAAGGCTCTGGTTCGCATTGCTGTCGGTAGAACGTAAGGTCCATATTTTCACTCTACAAGCAATGTCGGTTTTGATTGGTCAACTACTAGCCAATAATTCTCGAATCTGTAATTATGACGTCATACTTACAAATAAAGTAAATGGTTTGAACAAACATGTATACTTACAAATATTAGCTCAGTTTCGCTTCGGAAGATAAGATTTACCTTAGTCTAAATTATTCTTGATGTTAACCTCAACCAATAATAGTTTATTATCCAAATTCGACTTTTGCTCGGCACGTTTCTCGCTACTATAATAAACTATTAAGAAGCTCACATATAATTTGGGACGCACTGAGCGTATATCGACACACCACCAGATTATAACTTTGATTAAGCACCTCAGGTCTAGTAAATTTTATACATTTAAAACGCCATTTATGCAGAAAATTCCTTTTAAAGCGAATATAGTCAATACACTTGTTTACTTTGGCGTCCTATGAAATTTCAAGATTGCAATGATGAAGACCTATTTTCAGTGGCGTAGCTAGCGGTCTGGCTGGTCGGGCCCAGCCCGACCAAATATTTTCCCAAAAATGAAAAATTTGTTTTCTTTAAAATTGGATTTGCGAAAATTTTAAATTCTGCGACTCTTTTTGCAATAATCCACAGTCTATTAGTGTAATATTTGTCAAATTGCGTCGTTATTAGCAAATTATCATATTTTTAAACGTTACTTAGCAACAATGACTAGTGCATTTCTAGTGCCAGGCATTACGCAGTTTAGTCGGGCTCTGAAAATTCAGCCCGACCAAGTAGTAAAATCTATAGTGGGATTATCTGCAATCTGATTGGTTGACAGCAACTGAGCAAACTCAAATGCGCTGTTTCGCAACATCTAGTCGGGCTCTGAAAATTCAGCCCGACCAAGTAATAAAATCTATAGTGGGAATATCTGTAATCTGATTGGTTGAGAGTAGCTGTGAACACACTCAAACGTTTAACAACATCTTGTGGGGTTCATTTTCAAAAGCGTGACTGAAGTTTGAGCTTTCGAAATATACGTTTGGAAATCGTGATAACTTACATTACAATGGCTTCGGCTAATGAAATCGATATAATAAGTGAACTACAAAAGAAACCCTTTTCTGTTCGACAATCAGGCGAGCAAAATATACTCGTAAAGCAGCGGCCAATTCCAAATTTACAAGCGACTACAGGCAATAGAAGCTTTCAGGAAAGTTGGTACTCGAAGAAAGATTGGCTTTGTGGTAGCTCAGAAAAGAATGCATTGTTCTGTTGGCCTTGTCTTTTATTTTGCCCTGGATCGTCATCTTCATGGACGCAGACGGGATTCAAAAACATGAAGAATTTCCTATCCGATTGTAAGAAGCATGAGAAGGCAAAATCGCACATGGGTGCCTACAAGACCTGGAAGACCTACGGTTTTCAGCCTCGTATCGACTGTCTCATGTCACAAACTAGACGTGAAGAGATTCAGCGTCATAACGAGGAGGTAAGGCAAAACAGGGAAATGTTGAAAACCATAACAGAAGCTGTTTTATATTTGTCTAGGCAAGAGCTTGCATTTAGGGGGCATGATGAATCTAGTGGCAGCATGAATAGAGGAAATTATAGAGAGCTACTTGAACGTTTTGCCAAGATGGATTCTGTTTTTGAAAGGCGATTACATGGAAGGCTTGCTGAAACCCACCTTGCTGGGGGAGGGCGGTTTACTGGAGTCTCTCCTGATATTCAGAATGATTTGATTGATTGTCTTGATAAGATAATAGAGGATGAGATTTTAAAGGAAATATATTGCTTCACTTTCTTGACTATACAGGTTGATGAGGCAACTGATGAACATTTCTACCAAAGAACAATTGAGTGTAATTGTTCGAATGGACAAAGGGGAAAGTGTCATTGAAAGACAGCTTGGGTTTGTTGATGTTAGTTGTGATAGGACTGCAACTGCTATATCATCAGTGGTTAAGGGTAAGTTAAGTCAATATAGTAATGTGAAAGAGAAATTTATTGGACAGACTTATGATGGTGCATCTGTTATGTCTGGTCATCTCAATGGTGTTCAAGCTCAAGTTCAGCAGGATTATCCTTATGCTCAATTTGTTCACTGTGCTGCCCATAGACTAAATCTAGTATTATGTCAAGCTGCATCCTCCATCTCACCTGTTAAGATTTTCTTTGTTAATATTAGTGCTTTCTGCACCTTTACTAGCAATTCCCCCCAAAAGAAAAGCTTTACTATCATCCCATAGGCTTGAGTTTCCTAGTCCTGGTGACACAAGATGGTATTATAGGGCTCATGTCATCAATGTCTTGCATTCTAACTATGAGAAACTGATAGACATATTTGAAAATCTTACTGATAATCCAATAGGTTGGGATGATGAAACGTTAAGTAAGGTTACTGGTTTACTTGGCTACCTTAATGGCTTCTTGTTTTGTTTCTTGGTACATGTTTTCCAGAGAATTCTTGAGCAGTCAGCCATACTTTATTCTATCTTGCAAGACAAGGACACTGACTATCATTATGGAATGAGTAGGTTTGAGAGATTCAAGGCCTTTGCTGCTTCTCTGAGAAATGATACAGAATATTGTCAGGTGTACAACCTGGCTGTTGAGAAAGTGGGACCATCAGTAACCAGGTATGACCAACGGCATAATTACAAACAAATGTATTTTGAAATTCTTGACACAGTTGTGACTATGCTGACTGAGCGATTTCAGAATATGGAGCGTTTTAGATTTTTGACCTTGTTAACCCTAGGGTGTTTAAGATGTGGAAAGGTGAAGTGCCCTCAGAAAAGATAAATCTTCTAAAGGAGGTTTATGGTGATATGTTTGACATACCAATGCTAGTTAGCCAACTTTGTTTTATTTACAGAGATAAAGACTTTCACTGTGATTCATGCGATGAATTATTGAAATATATTTTTCAGTTCCATTATCAATCTAGTATTCCAGAAGTTGTAAAACTGTTAAAGTTAAATGGGGTTTTGTCAATTACAAGTGCTTCAGTTGAGAGGTCATTTTCTTGTTTGAAGAGGGTAAAAAATTATCTTAGAAATACTATGAGCCAAGGACGTTTTAGTTCTCTTTGCAGGATTTCCATTCACACAGACATACTGTCAGAGAAAGAAGACGCCAACACATTGCATGATGAGGTAGTAAAGAAGTTCACTGAAAAACCACGAAGACTTGCTTTCTTATACAAATAGGTATTCATATATGGCTGATAGCAAGCTGATGATGTCTTACGTCCATGCCATGTGAGAATTTTTCCGGGAATTTTTTAATGCAGTCAATGATGATTGTCATTTCAGCACGACAATTTCATCACAACTTTTGATAGTTGTTGATGACAAATCTGAGCCTTTTTCGGTTCTTTTGTCAAAGTTTCTTTACAAGATGTACATAGGTATCTATTTATGTATGTGGTGTTGAAAAAATAAATCACATATCTGCAACTATTTTTGAACTGTTTCCTGCTTTACTATAAGATCCTTCGGCAATTTAAAATAACCAAAATGGTTCTATTTCCTGCATAAATATCACGCATTTGCTTTCTAAGATAGCCATTTCCGACGTTCTAGGGAGTCTAAATTCGGAAAATTTTCTCGCCCGACCAAATGTTTTTCGCTAGCTACGCCACTGCCTATTTTGTTGTAGGCCATATGTCACGTTTGATTAATTTACATTTTAGTGAACTAACCCTGAGAGAGATTCGTTCAATCGAAATGAAATTGAGTTCCTATGCCTTTGTTTTGCTGCAATGAATCATACGGCCATTTCCATGCGATCAAGATTAACTTTGACCTTACATTACGCTGACGCTGGCGAGAGTAATGACGCCACCGTAAGAGTCAGAGTCAGGCATATGCAAAGAACTGACTGATAGCCATGCAACTTATTAAAATTGAATGATTTATAAAATAACAGGAATGGTATAGATTCAAGCGAACATACTAGAATAAATACGCTAAGATATAGAAACAATAATGAAGGGATTTGGTCAAAACTCGATGTGCTAGTATAGCTCATTACCTCTTTCATGATATCTACCTGCCACTGTCTGGCACGGGAAAGCTAATTTCTGTCATTGCTCAACACAGTGTATAAAAAGGGAAACTCTTAGAAATTGGTAAGTTGTTAAAATTTTAACGTCTGATCACTATGTTAAGACAACGGGCTTATGATTTTTTGCTATGAATTTGTAACAAATGCATGTAATATAGTTTAACCACATAAATTTAAAAATATTTTGCTCATTATGGCTTATAGGAATAGCAGCGAGTACATGGATGGGGAATTGAAATTCAAGCAAAATGTCTCCTTCCCATACACCCTGTGTATGATAATCGTACAAAGCATTGTAATATATGCGTATAAGTTGATAAGTAATCTGAAAAATTTGCAGCTAAGCAATGCACTTATTACGTCCGTAAATTTAGCAAGTAGATATATTTAAATTGATATTTGTGTCCATACACATACAATTTCGAGCAATAAAAAACAATCAGTTACAGATAGTCTGATACCGTATACATATAATAGCATGGCACAAGAAAGTCTAAAATGATGTCAGAATCTCAATTAATTGTCACTGATAAAATAATGCAAAACAGTAAAATGTGAACAGTAAGATCGAGCAAAATATAATGATAATTACGTACCACTTGTTTTGCCCCTACGACTGATCAAAATTTTGAAAATATGTAGCAGTGGACTTTCGACTTTCGACCAGAGAAATGATGAGCGACTTTTATAGCCTAAATTATATTGTTACTAAAAAATCAGGCGATACGCGCATACTGGTCGCGCGAGTGTAGTGGTCATCAATGTCTTGTCTTGTACCGGTGTGTACTGAAGACGGACTTTTCCTCCCAGCACTGTCTGGCACGACGGAATAAGGGCGTTGCAATGAACATAGCTCACGCTTGGCATTTTTGTGCGCAAAATTAGAGAATTAGAATGTGCCAAATTTTATTGCCGGCGCGCGACATTTTTCGAAGCTTGGTAACGAATTTATCGAACAGCAAATTCCTTATTTTTGTCGATGATTTTCCAGCAAACGTTTTCCTTGAGCTACTTGGGAACACAAGAGTGTTATAGAGGATAACTAGAGGATCATTTTGATAACTCAATTGCTATGGTTACACATATTGTTTTTCAACAGACGAGCTTGTTGCTCGAGGGTTTTTGGCGAAATGGCGTCGGTTGGCGAAGTTTGATAATTTACTCTAACTTCGGTTTGTATAGGTTTCTTTATCCGATCATTCTTTTGTTTAGATTTTGGTTATTTGGTAAGATAAATAATCTTCTTACAATCGTATATTTTTTGTTTTGAAGAAAATGGGATAATTTAGCGTCGTCAATCATGCCGTTCCGCAAGGCAACGAATTCCAAACGATTCAATGTTGGGGAATACATGCGCAACGAAAGATTGGCATGGGAAGGAAATATGAGCAAGCAAAAGAAAGCAAAATGTGTGTCTCAGAAGCTTAAACGTCTTGATGATAAGGTAAAAAATGTTTAGTAGTTTTATTTGAAATTATCTTTGCTTACTCGATCTTGTCTTATGTCAATAAGTCAATAAACTACCGTGAAATTGGCACCACATGGGCACCACATTCAACACAACATTCATCACAACATTCATCACCACATTCAACTAAAATTTATCATTCAAAATGATAAATGGAAAAATCGTCTTTAAAACACGTTTTCCATCAAATACAACAGTAAAAAACAATTCTTAACTGTTTATTACTATTTTACTGTCCTTAACCAGCACAAAGAAAGTATAACAGTCAAAAAATTGAAGAAAACACTAAACCTTAGGTTACAGTGTACTTTTCATTTCCCTTAATTAGCGTATAATTTAAAAACTACAAGGTAAAATTTTTTTAAACTTGGCCAGAATATAGATAATTATATTGTCTAAAACATATCGAAAATCTGGAGAGTGCACAAAAAAATAAGTTGTAAAAAATCATCTACAAAGTCGGATGACACGAATACGCGTAATATGATCTTATATAATTAACTTCCTATATCCAGGTAACTTTGCAAACAAAGGCCAATAAATAAAAAACTAAACTGTAGAATTTTTTTAAACTTGGCCATATTGTAGATATTTTTATTGTCTATAACGTATCCAAAATCTGAAGAGTGCACAAAAAAATAAGTTGTAGAAAATTATCTACAAAGTCGGATGACACGAATACGCGTAATATAATCTTATATAATTAACTTCCTATATCCAGGTAACTTTGCAAACAAAGGCCTATAAATAAAAAACTACACGGTAGAATTTTTTTAAACTTTGCCATATTGTGGATATTTTTATTGCCTAAAATATATCCAAAATCTGGAGAGTGCACAAAAAAATAAGTTGTAGAAAATCATCGACATAGTTAGGTGACACGAATGCGCGTAATATGATCTTATATAATTAAGTTAAGAATTTCAAGTCATTCCTAAACAAAGGCCTGTAAATAAAAAACTACACGGTAGAATTTTTTAAACTTGGCCATATTGTAGATATTTTTATTGTCTATAACATATCCAAAATCTGAAGAGTGCACAAAAAAATAAGTTGTAGAAAATTATCTACAAAGTCGGATGACACGAATACGCGTAATATAATCTTATATAATTAACTTCCTATATCCAGGTAACTTTGCAAACAAAGGCCTATAAATAAAAAACTACACGGTAGAATTTTTTTAAACTTGGCCATATTGTAGATATTCTTATTGCCTAAAATATATCCAAAATCTGGAGAGTGCACAAAAAAATACGTTGTAGAAAATCATCGACATAGTTAGGTGACACGAATACAAGTAATATAATCTTATATAATTAACTTCCTATATCCAGCTAACTTTGCAAACAAAGGCCTATAAATAAAAAACTACACGGTAGAATTTTTTTAAACTTTGCCATATTGTGGATATTTTTATTGCCTAAAATATATCCAAAATCTGGAGAGTGCACAAAAAAATAAGTTGTAGAAAATCATCGACATAGTTAGGTGACACGAATGCGCGTAATATGATCTTATATAATTAAGTTAAGAATTTCAAGTCATTCCTAAACAAAGGCCTGTAAATAAAAAACTACATGGTAGAATTTTTTTAAACTTGGCCATATTGTAGATATTCTTATTGTCTATAACATATCCAAAATCTGGAGAGTGCACAAAAATATAAAGGGAATAATATTCCTTGAGAATGTACTCTGGTATAAACTGTAAAGTTGGCACCACATTCGACAAACAGCTCTATAGCTAAAAAACTACACGGTAGAATTTTTTAAACTCAAGTATATTATAGAATTTTATATTGTCTACAATATATCCAAAATTTGGAAAGTGCACAAAAATATAAATAATAGAAAAACATCGACAAATTTGGATGACTCAAATGCGCGTAGTATAATATAATTCTCAACTTAATTATATAAGATCATATTACGCGTATTCGTGTCACCTAACTATGTCGATGATTTTCTACAACTTATTTTTTTGTGCACTCTCCAGATTTTGGATATATTTTAGGCAATAAAAATATCCACAATATGGCCAAGTTTAAAAAAATTCTACCGTGTAGTTTTTTATTTATAGGCCTTTGTTTGCAAAGTTACCTGGATATAGGAAGTTAATTTTTTAAGATTATATTACGCGCATTTGAGTCATCCAACTTTGTAGATGATTTTCTACAACTTATTTTTTTGTGCACTCTCCAGATTTTGGATATATTTTAGACAATATAATTATCTATATTCTGGCCAAGTCTAAAAAATTCTACCGTGTAGTTTTTAAATTATACGCGAATTAAGGGAAATGAAAAGTACACTGTAACCTAAAGTTTAGTGTTTTGTTCAATTTTTTGACTTTTATACTTTCTTTGTGATGGTTAAGGATAGTAAAATAGTAATAAACAGTTAAGAAATGTTTTTTACGGTTGTATTTGATGGAAAACGTGTTTTAAAGACGATGTTTCCATTTATCATTTTGAATGATAAATTTTAGTTGAATGTGGTGATGAATGTTGTGATGAATGTTGTGATGAATGTTGTGTTGAATGTGGTGCCCAATGTGGTGCCAATTTCACGGTAGTAGTCAACAACATATGCAATATTTTGACATGATGTGTCGAATTTTGTAATGATAGGCTTATTTTTTAATGAAAGATTGTTTTATACAGAATCGACATATTTAGCGCCAAGGCGTACTGTTTCAGTTTAATTGTATTTTTAGTGTGAACTGTTTGTGCTTGTATTTTATATCAGAATATGTATGGCATTTTTGTGCTGGAACTGTATTCATAAATTTTACAGGTAAAGAAATTGGTGAATGAAGTAGAAGAGTTAGATAGCATCAGGACAGAGTTCATTGAAGGTGCAAGTAGGCAGGAGGAACAAGAGGAGAAAGGTTTTAGCATAGGCAGGAAGGCAGTTGTTAGGCAAAGAAACAAACCAACTGGGCAAGGTTGTGTGGAGTCCACTGGTCGAACACGCAGGATGGAGACTATGTTGGCGGCTAATGCCATTCATGGAGGTAGTAAGGATGATACAAAGCCTGGTACCATTGGAATGTTGGAGACATTAGAAAAAAAGTGCAAAGTGGGTGATATAGTAAAAGGATTAGAAAAGTGCAGTAAGTTTAAGAGCAAGGTTTTTCCAAAAATTTACAAAGAAGATTTGAAGAAGTTCGAAAGATCAGATGAGAATATGTTAAGATCGATTGCTGTATATTATAGCAAAGGAGTTATGGGCAAAGAAAAGTATAGAAGAGTTTATAAGGCTAGCTCATATGAGCAGATATGTGGTAGTAAGAGGGCTAAGCGTGTTAGTGTTGCTAAATGTCCCACCCCTTGGCTGGTTCCCTATGATAGATTAATGCAATACATTAAATTTTAATTGTATATATACAATGTAACAAAACTATTTAGTCTTTTATCAAATTAGGACAAGTATAATCTGTGCAACTTAATCTTACCAGAATATGTACATGTTAGAGCATACAAGCTTTACATATGCATACTATCAAATTTGCATATATTATACTCATCTGAATTTTACATTTACTGATATTTGTGTAGTTTAACTAATTTTTTTAAACCATTGTCAAATTTAATAAAAACTTGAAGAAGCCAGAGGGTGGTATCCTCATTAAAAAATTTACTGTCTATTATTCACAGGCAATGTGCTAGTTTGCCCTATTTTTGTTTTTAAAGCAGGCAATGAACAAATAACCAAGAGCTAATAAATGGCTCAGTTGTTAGTCAGGTTTCAACTTTCTAATTTGAAATAAATTTAAAAAGTATTTGTACATCCCTTTGTTTTTAGAGGGATGGCATGAATTAGGTTGAATTTTTTCATATTTTTTCTTAATTTTTGAATGAGTTGCTTCTTTTGCTGTTTGGCATTTTTTTGTTTGTTTGTCTTTATGTACAAAATAAGAAACTGGAAAGCTCAATATCAAATAAATAAAAAATATGAATAGATTTGATGTTTTGATGGTAGTAATTTCCTTCAAAATTAGGACTAAATTAAATTATACGTTCAAAAATTATTTTGGAGGCAATTTCCAACCAAACAATCACCATGCTAAATCTAAAGGTTTTGATATATTACTTACAGTTGTGAAAATTTAAACAAATGCAATGCACAACTAAAGACAACCAAAATATGTTGTATGTAACCAATGTTTCGTAATGACAGTAACAATTAGAATTCAGCCTGATTGTTTGCTCATCTCATTGTATGAAAATTTTTAAGCAAATTTATATAGCTAATTATGAATCGATTTATTATTTTCCAATAAAAGCACAGTAAAATATAGGCATGACAGCAGAACAATCAGACTGGTTTTGCTTTACCTGAAAAGATAGACAATGCAAAGAAATCACAACTGTAAGCCTTGTACACATTTATATTTTATAAGCTAACAAACATGTTGAGGAACCCATTAATATTCCACTCTCCATAGTTAAATCCAATGATAAGCTTTCCAGGCCTTTTTTTGTACATAAAAACAAAGTCTTTCACCTCGGTAACCATAACTGCTGCTGTTTGACCCTTTCGACGTCCGGTAAAACTTCGCCTTAGGTAAGCAGCAACTTCTTTGGACAAGCCAGACCACAAAACAAGCAACTCATTCAAAAGGCGCATGGAGGTGAAGGATATCACCTCAGCCTTCTTTTTCTCAACTTGGTAACAAAAAGGAGCCACAAAACCATCCAAAGTGCGAACAGTAGCAAAAAAAGCATGAGGAGTGTCCCTTGTAATTTCCCCATAATATGGGTTTCTGATGCTTTTTTTGCCACCAAGTCGTCGACGAATCCCCATTAGCCAAATTCGTGACTCCTCTTTTAAAAGCTCGGCTGGATTAATAGAGAGTCCCATCAATCTCAGCGAACTATTGTTGTGCGTGGAAGTAGATCTCTTTGCAAGTTCAAGCATAGCTTGTACTTGCTCGACACACTTCTTTGAGACATTTTCGCATTGCATTTCCCTTGCTAATGCGCAAATTGCCTCTTCAACTTTTTTTAAGGAGGAATGCGGCTCTTCAACGGCTCTGCTGTATATCTCCTCTTGATGTAAAACTTCTGCTGAAAATCGCACATTTGAAACAGCCGCCATCTTCAGTAATTAATTATTTTAATTAAGTATTTTGTGCAAAAACCGCTGGACACAATGACTTACCAACTAGCGTTTTGGCATGCAAAAATGCCAGGCGTGGCTGGAATCTTTGTATCGCTATAGATGTTCTTTGAGAATAAACTTGCACTCTGCTGCCCACCTAGCTCGGTCGTTGGCTTCATGTTTCACATCTGTAGTTCATTCCTTTTCTTTCTGTATTTTAAAAATGTTTCCTTTCATCATGTTGTAGTCGTTGTATTCAAAAAACATTAATAGGGAAGCAAAGGATATTCGGTGTCTACGAAATAATACTTCAGAAAATTGAAATGTGTAGACAAATAGACTTTGGAGTAAATGTCTGCAAATTCATTGGGTTTGGTTGGCATTGCTATAGCTAGGAGCTGTTGGCTTGACTTCCGATGCCAATACCACAGTATTAGTGATACTACTATTTACCTTCACTCTACTCCCTGAGATTGGGGGTGGGGGTGGATTTGAAACTGATATCTTTTGAAAGTGATTGTACTGTACTACACAGTAAAAAGAAAAGGGCCATTTTAGCACCCAAAATGGAGCCAAAATATTGACCCCAGAACGGCCCCATACTTTAGAGAAGGGCCAAATTTGGTCCCAAAACGTAGCTGAAACAGCCCCAGGTAAGAGGACCAATTTAGCCCCATAGCGAGCTATTTTTCCCCTTTTGTGTGAAATTCAGCTCTAGACAGAATAGCCAATTTAGCCCCATTATCTCATCAAATCGGCAATGGCTAAAAAGCAGCCCCTTGCCCTGGAAAGAAATGAAATTACTGAAAGCTTACAATAAACAAGACTCGTATAATATACGTAAGCACATAAGTGCTTAACATCTTCATTAAAATACTTTACATGCACATATTTTCATCTCACTCAAATTAAACTTCACAAAAAAGAATTGAAATAAACCATAATCTTTATAGCCATGTGCATTCATCATTAGTTGAACACATTTGATAACACTCCAACTAAACTTTTCACAGAAGATGGACACTTCTCTGGGATAATTCCCAATAATGCCATGTCAAGAAAGCTATAGACATTCTTGCCCTCAATGTATATTATATTGTACATATAGTACGTGGCCAACAAAGCAACCAGAGCATCGCCAATCTTTTTGGTTGTTACATGGCACAAAACTATTCCTGCTGCGACAACATATATAATGTCACTTTGATAAATGTCATCCACTACCAAAATACAAGGTTGAATTTGCTTTCTTATTTTTTCATCGAGGAAAGCGCCATTCAACGATAAAAAGACAGCAGAAAATTTAGAAAATTAGCTTGAGACTATACAATAAAGTCTTAAGTGTCTACTTTCATTAGGGTTCACAAGTTACTTTTTGTTATGTGAGAAACAAAAATGAAGTAGTATGGTAATACTCATTTTATAGCAAAGATATAATGCCGGTTTTACCTTAACAACTTTGATAACAGCTTCTTTAACATGAGGCGTCCTCCTACTGTTTGGAAGCTTGAAGACAATTTGAGCGATTTTGATAGCTGCTCTACCAGCACATTCGCCTAAAAAATAGCACACATTACTACACAAATGTTGATCGAGAAACAACTGCTGATCCTTCTTAGTTTTATTTTCTTCAAGAGAATTTCTGATGTGTATGAAGTTGATTATCAGCTGACATACCTTCATCAAGGATACCACTGTCAATAGCATTGTGCATTTTGTTCAAGTCTTTTGAATGTTTACCACCATTTTTCTCAGCATATGCCAACAGCCTGTGACGCCAGACTTTGTTGAAGTTTTCCTTTACCTGTGTAGCTACGTCTTTATTCCCCCATAACATTTGCAAATTCAGCCTTGATCTGCAGTAATACAATGTACAGCAGTTACCTATAAGCTTTGCTAAACTTATGTACGTATTTTATGGGATAAAAATACTACTAGCTACTAACGTATAGCAGATTTTTTAAAGGAGAGAACATTTCAACAACTTTCACTATTCTTCTGACGTCTTCCAAGACAAGTGATCTCCTTGAGGCATAGCATGCAGCCATCAACTCCTGAATTTTTTCATGATCCTTTTTAGCTGACTGCCACTCCTTTTTTAGTTTTGATACCACTGCGGTAAGATCTTCACTTTTGCACGGCTCGGGAACGTTCGTCCAACAGTGACTGTTCCTTTTCTTTGTTGTTTTGCCTTTATTTTTCGAGACATTGGTAACAGGCGTGTTAGATCTCTTTCTTTGCAATTTTTTGAATCGGTTATAGATTTTCATCTCAATAGATCCCTATAAAAGAGCTTTCATTTAAGCTTTCATTAAAGCTTTCATTTAAAAGTAGTAAAAGACAAATAAATTTATTTTTTATCATTTACCAAATAGAGACGCAAGCAGCCCATTACAACAAAAACGCATATAACAAGGTGATAATGTAAATTTACAACACATAGTTTGGATTAGGGGGTGGGATGGGAAGATGTGTCCACTTCTCTTCAAAATACTAAAGCCTAGTTAACATATATTTGTATATAATCGTAGTAATTCTATCGGCGTTGAAGGTTCATATCAATTATAAGTGTATAAGAGCGCGCGTAGTAATTGTTTTAAGTAAGTTAATCGAAAAAATCTGGAGTCCAGTCAAATCAAAAGCAATTGTGATTAGAGATAAATGGAGGATGCCATTATAATTGGTAAAATCTACGAACGCAATAAATATGTAACAGAATTTAACAAAAAAAGTCTGACATCCTTTGGCAACAAATACGTACTCACAGAAATCACATACACTCTAGACAAGTAGTAACCTAAACCACAACCAAGCTATTCCCAAACACACACCCCTACCAAAAAAATCGTGAATACACATCCCTGATTTAGATTTTTGTGTTAGTTCGTTAGTCACCCAGTTATTGATTTTAGCAGGCATGATTATGAGAAATTGAGGTGTGACGTCATTAAATGTATTTGTCATGACTGTTAGCAAAAAGAACGTGTGGTTTCTTTAAAAGAGATTTATCTAGGCAAGTTAAAACTTTGTAACTGCCCAAAATGCTTTCTGAAGTACAGAGTTTTAACTTGTCTGGCAAAATCGCTTTTGAGAAATCATACATTCTTATTTTTGCTAACAGTAAAATACAATTAACGACATCACGCATGTCAGCTTTAAAAAATTCCTATTGCTTACCAAGGATGCGACCTTTGCCCGACCTTGGCATTGTCAACGTCTAACTGACCTTGACTACGAAAAGGGCGGTAGTTTTTACAAAATATACCATTGAAACACGTGTTTTTATATTGTTTTTTTATATGTTATTTTTGGTAATAAAAGAATTTCTTGATTGATATATCGTGAAACAGTGTATTTTTTTACATCATTAACCCTCGATCGGCATTTTTTTTGAGTAAACAACGTAGGTCTCGTACGCAAAACAAGCTGTTTTCGTCGGTGTCAATGAATAAAAGCGTTATATATATGAGAAATGTCCTAAAATATTTCAAAGATAACTGTTATGTCTAACTTGGGAGAAATTTTCCACATCATATCAAAATTTTAGCAATGTCTTCATAGTAAAATGGCGACTCCTTCACTTGGGACACAGGATGTACGGTAACACATTGTATGGATTGTATTGTAGAGTCACCAGAGCGCTCAAACCTATAAAGGTGAGCTTTGCGCAAAGCAAAAGCGGTGAACGTCTCTATATGTTATTCCCTACACAATCCGAGAGCGCTCAAACTGCGCAAGCGCAGCGAGCGTAATATACAAAGTGTATATCAATGTACCCTCCCGGCTATCACCATAGTAAAATGGTGACTCCTGCACTTTAAATGATACATATATACTTATAAATGATATATATATACTTATTTAGGTCTTGCATTCACACCAAAGACAAGATGGGCTGTTATCAGATTATTGTGATGGCAATGAATTCAAAAGCCATCCCTTGTTTTCCATCGATCCGACTGCTCTTCAAATTATATTATATTATGATGAAGTAGAAAGTGTCAATCCCCTGGGAAGCAAGACAGGGAAACATAAACTAGGTACAGTACTTATAGGTCTACATCAGCCACATTTATTAATCTTTGCAGATTTATTGTCTGACCTAATCCTTTCCTCCCTAATTAATTTACTATAATTTTGACTTTTTGTCGAAAGTGTTGCAGCAAAGTGTTGCCACAAAGTGTTGCACAAATGAGTTCATGTTCACAAAACACAAATTGCAAGTCAACTTTAAAAACATTCTAAACTAATTTGCTTGTTTTCTCTATATTTGACATAGGACTTGTTTACTACACATTGGGTAACATTTTACCACGGTCGCAGTTGAAAGATATACAACTAATTTCACTTGCAAGCAGACCTGTTATTAAGAATTATGGTATTAATTCTCTGTTATGTTCATTCATGGAAGAGCTTTCTGAACTTGAAAAAGTACAACGTGGTGTGCCTAAAAACTTCAAACCTGAACTGGGACACTGATTACACATATGTATGCGCATGTGCGGTTAACCACAATGTGTGAGTTGAGAAGTGCCTGCATGGTGACGTCATTGCAAAATTAAAGCAATCAACTTCTTTGGCAATCTTCGGAATGAATAAACAGTGGACAATCCCAGAGGCCACAGCTCTTTGCAAAAGCCGGCGAATTTATCGTGAGGAAAAATTATATTTGTGTGTCAAAGTGATTGTTTTAAACAACATGAAGTTCTTTTCTAAGCAGTATTTAAGTTATATTTGGTTTCTTGATTGCACATTTGTGAATTTGTAATGCTTTGTGCAATGAATGCAATAAAATTATTGCAGTATTGCTGAAGCATACATCTGCGTTCGAAGATCAAACAAAACTTACTCGCTCATTTGCCTGAAAAATGGTCGTAAAACACATTCATAAACTTCGAACAAGTTTGCTGTAAATAATATTGAAGAATATACGTATCATGTAAACTTTATTTGTTGATTTACTTCATTTGTTGCTATATTATTGAAAGCATGGAGATTATAAATAGTACCACTAGTATTATTTATAATCTATTTGATTGAAAGGCTACCCACATGTACACATTGAGTACCTATTTTTAGACCACTATTTTACTTGAAAGTATAGAGGAGTGTATACTCATCTATTTTGTGCTATCTATACATATTTGTGTTAAGCCATTGTTTCTGTCCTTTGCATTCTATGGTAGATGAAGGATTTTTATTTTTTTTGGAAGGGAGGGACACCCCGTGAATGTTACATACATTTATTGCGCGTTGTTTAAAAAGACTGACATTTTCAGGTTATATATTATGAAGATCTAATTTCTATGGGAAATATTCGGAAGGGTGCAGTCGCCCCTCTTTGCCCCAACCCAACCCCTTTTTAGCACCTCTGGTAGATAATGACATTGTGTGTTGGATCTAAGATGAAGGACATCAATTAAAAATCAAAGGGTTTCCAAGAAACTTTAGGGGTACCATTGCATATGTGTCTGGAGATAATCTTGGTTGCTAAGAAGTAGGAGGTTTTAAGATTGGCTCTGCTGCAAATCTTAAGTGTCGTGAATGCTTGGGTTTGTCTATTGATCTAGCTACAAAGGTAAAAATAAATACTTATTACGAAAGGCACAGGTTTTAACTGTGACTATATTTTTCATGTATTGTAAATGATGTTTCCGTTGCAGATTGCAGTAACTAACAGTCATACAGGCAATGCTAATTTTTACCCTCAAGACCAGAGGAGCTTCCTATTGTGCAACCTTTGTAAAATACCTAGCATTCATTGATACGTGTGGCGAATGGATGCCCAGCTTTATTCAATATTTTCACTTTCATATAGCTCCATGAGCAACATTAACTGAGAACCAGAGAGTCGTATAATTTTATCAGCAGAAGGCTGTTAGAAGACGAGGATGGAGCTATATCTGTTCAAACTGGCATTTGTCATCCATCCATTCTAAATGAATCGCGGTATTTCCATGCTGTTGGGGGCTTACCAGGGGATGCAATGCATGATATTCTTGAGGACTGACTTCAATATGAAGCCAAAGAATTTTTAAAGCATGCTATCCTTCGTGAAAAGTTCCTTTCATTGGATGAATTAAACGACCGTCTTATCCATTTTGATTTTGGTTATTCTAATGACAAGAATAGACCATCAGCAATTAGTATGAAGACATTAAATGCGACACACAATTCTCTTGAAGAAGATGAAAAGCCTCAGCTCTTCATATTACTGCTTGAAATAGTTGAATTGGTGTTTTCACCTGTCATTAGTGGTGAACGAGCGAGCTACTTGCAGACTATAATTGAAGAACATCATATGCGATTTGTTGAACAGTACCCCGCTGCATCTATTATCCCCAAGATGCACTACATAATCCACTACCAAGAACCATTGTCAGGTAACTGCTTTGTAGAAAAACAAACAGTAGAATTATACAAAATTATATAATGGCTAATGGTAAATGGCATGCCAATTATTTTTAGTAATGTAATTTACATTGTGAAACCTTATTATTGTGATATTTAGTCTAGTTCAAGGCAATGTACAAGTTTCACAATTAATACTTTTGCAGGCTTGGCCCAATGGTACGATCTTGGTGCATGAGGTTTTAGTCAAAGCACACACTTCAAGCAAGTTGCTGTTTCCCTTGGAAATTTCATCAATGTGCCATTTACAGTTGTTATATTATGAAGCCTCTTGAATGTGGATCAGGTATATACATTACTTAAATATTGAATGACAATATTTATTTAACCTGCAGAGAAAATTAGTGTAAGTGATAAATGTTTGTGTCTTTGAGGTTGTACAATCCAAACATGAAATGGTTCAATGCCCAAATTCCCTGAAGTCTCTGCATTTACATTTTTATCAGCTGTCAACTTTTGCAATAATTTTTACTTGCTGCACATTCTTTTTGTCATTGTCAAGGTTCGCAACATTCAGTTTTACATGATCCATCAAAAGAAGAATTAAAGCAAATTGATGGCCACTTGAATGATCAAGATCTTGTGTACAAGTAAGTGGACATACAAGTAAGTTGTCATGTCTCATCCATGGGAAATTTTTCTACAACCATTGGCTCTGCTTGGTGTGCAATATCTGACCTATGTGTGCTCATTAATAAATGAAAATTTTGAAGTATGTACTATTTTTTTATAGGACTTCCTGGGTAAAAATCCTTGGAACACTCTACAAAATTGTGGCAATTATCCATGTGGGCTTCAACAATTTTCTGCCTGTTTTTGCTGAGATTAAATCAATCCATGTTTTAAACTCATCAATTGAAAGGGTGTATTTTGCCGCTGAAATTTTGTAACAAAACAGTTTTGTGAGCATTACCGTACCTATGTTGTAAACAGAACAGTACATCCTGAAATTCAGTTTTACCCACAAAGATCATTGCAGTACTATCTCCCACTTCACTTCCTGAATCCTGTCTGTTCACATAACCAGACACATGTTTTGCCTAAATGTGATATTCACGATTACAATTAATACCAATATTTACTGATTTAAAATATGCAGTGTGCATGTTCATAGCAAATATCACCACATTGTAAAGTATGCCTATCAAATTGCTGAAAACTGCCATTACTTCATCATAAAGCAAAGAACAAATTCCATTTTTAATGAAAACAGTGCATTTCTTAAAGTTCCCTAAGGGATATTTTCTTGTAAATGTGAGAAATATGATAACTAGAGTTGCAGGTTTACACTTCAAGTATTTTCAACTAAAAATAGGCTTTTAGTTGACCAGATTGAAGCATATGTAACAATGTGTTTTTCTTTGTTCAGAATCAGTATAGGGGTAATATTCAGTATTGAAGCTGACTTACAGCAAACAACAAGATTCATGAGCAAAGACTTAAATGACAAGGCGTACATATAAAAGAAATAAATATTTTGTTGTTCATTTAGAAAATATATAGCTAAGACATCTTGAATTTATGTGATACTTTTAAGTTCACTAACTCTTTATATTGAAAAAAAAACACAGTTAAATAATCTCAAATGGGTACAACAAAAAATCTTACAAAAATTTTTTGAGAACTAAAATATCAGATCTTTGTCATAATATGTGATTTAGTTTGTTCAAAAGCAATTAAAACTGCTAAAATGCAAAAAATACTTTCGTACTAGACAATACCTGACATATTTTGTTATTTGCCGTTCACTCCTACAACAATTGAATCACTTTCAAAACCATTACAAACAAAGCAAATGGTCGTCGTCAAAAACTCTTCACTTTGAATGATAATAGAATATTATTTTTCCTGCAATATCATAGACATCTATGGCCGTTATCATAGTGAAAACAGCAATCGAAACGCGGTTAAATTTCGAATAACTTAAAAAAAAATTAAGAGAATGTTACTTGAATGCAGGGGTGTGACTTGAGTTCCGAGAATGGAGAGGAGAAACGTTGCAGAATTTGATTTGCCCAACAAAAACGTAGTGTAATTTTGTATGTTAATACCAGCAAAATCGCTTTTTACTTAGTTATGAGTTGATCCAAACGTCATCGCTAATATTTGCCTTTTTTAAATTTCCGAAAAATTAAATGCTTTGCTCGACAAAACTGCTAACTTTTTGAAGGGGAGAAGCTGAGCCACCACATACTAATCCCCTCTCCAGGATTTACACCCCTGTTTCAACGTTACTGATACAGCAATTTACGATTTGTGCACGCTAAATTTACATGTATATTATCATGGGAATCATCTCTTACAAACTATAAAGAACTTAAAATTCAATGCAATATTTAGTTGTGAAATATTCGGAAAAGCGGTCAATTTCGGTAAATCTCAGCGGCAACGGACGAAATCCGCCATTTTTTTGGCGTCATCAGATATCTAAGGCTGCGCTTGAGATAGCCGCTCCAGTTATTATAGAACTCAATGAGTTGCTCTCGAACCAATGAGGTATTTGCCGGTTGCCAGTCTCCCTTAACTTTGCGCGGTTTTTGCAATGCATTTTGGGATCGCCAGGGGGCAAACATTTCTTCAGAAATTTATCTGTAATAGTGATATTTTTGAGAATTCTAAATTTAAAGCACCTACTTCCATTATAATGGCTATTTGTTGTAATCGGTATTCGTAACCAGTTGGGAGAAAAGAAATAAAAGTATGTGGAGACGGCAATTGCTTTTATCGAGCAGTTGTGTTGGCTATAAACGGTGAAAGCGACGAAAACTTTGCTCACATTCGAGAAATGTGTAACGATATTTTGATACAAAATCCGGCTACTTTTCGACCGTATTTATTTCGATACGAATCGATGGAAAAGCACCTGGAGCGAAGCATTATGTCCGGTACGTGGGAAGAAACAGTGGATATGTACGCTTGTGCCACGGCCTTGCAGCATGAAATTTGTGTTTATGCTATGCTTGAGCAGAAATGGTTTTATTTCACTCCTCGCCTGGAGTTACGTCCATTGTTAAAATATCATCCAATCTGTGATTGTCCAATCACTTTGTCTTGCATACTTTCACAGAGCTGCTTGCCATTTCAATCATTTTGCAACCTATCAATAGTTGTTGTCTCGCCCCAATGCCTGCCAATGAATACCAACCACCTGTGTTGGTTGATCTTGAACTTAAGGAAGAACCATCTCTTTCTAATAACCAATCATCTCTACTCAAAACTAGAACTGTACCTTGTCCATCAAAACCTAAAACAATATCCCGCAAATCCAAACCCCAAAACACATCTTGTCTATGTAAACATAAAACCATATTTTGTAAAACCAAACAAGAAAAGCTTGAAAATGAAAACATTGCGAAGAATGTTGACACTAATACAGCTGTCATGGATGAGCAATTTCACCAGAGAAATAATTTCAAAGACTGGAAAGTTAAAGATTTGAAAAGGTGTACCAACTACAAACTATTTAAAATCTGATCTCATAAAGTTAGTAGAAGCCACTGAGGAGGCAAAACTACCTATTGATCCTGATTTTTCAAAGGATTCCTTGGAGCATTGCTTCAAGAACGATTGACACTTCCTGCTGGAAAGCCCCTTCAAGATCCAATTAAAATGACCCATACATCAAATGACATGTCAGCTTTACCAACATTTGGACTGTTGGATATTTTCAATCATTTAATAGTTAGTAAAGCAGAATATGACAAAGAAATGTTGGCATCTTGGAGAACATTTGATGATTATAAATTACACCAAAATGGTCATGTAAGGAATTTATATGGAACTATTTTCTAGAACAATGATGATATCAAGTTTCACATTGTCATTAGCAATGTTTTACCCTCACAAAGGGACAAAACACCAGAAGGCATGAAAGAATACAGATCCCGGTTCATACTTTCACCAAACGGCTCTGTGTTTTCTGTGTAGACGTCACTTCCTGTTGAATATTACTTCCGCTTATAATGTATATATATAGAGGACATTTAGATAAGAGGGCACTTAATAAAAACTCTACATGGTGGCAGCGATAGGATTCTGTCTAAAATGGTAAAGACCAGTGGACAAGAGACGTGGAGATAAATAAGAAATGGCATTTCAAACACAAATTCCATTGCCAGAAAAATTAGAATCGAAAAAGCCCGAAGATTGGAAGCGATGGATTGAACGATTCGAATGTTATCGCATCGCAGCTGGCTTAGACGAAAAAGATGATAAAGTACAAATCAATACTTTGGTATATGCTATGGGAGGCAATACCAATGATCTTTTAAAAAGCTTTCAAATAAGCGAAAGAGATATGGTGTACGGAAATGTTGTAGAACAATTTGCATCGCACTTTGTTGGTCGATCGAACACAATTTTCGAGCGTGCTCGGTTCAATAAACGAATACAGGGTGAAAAAGAATCAGTCATCGACTTTGTGGAAGATTTGTACAAACTGGCGGAAACTTGCCAATTCGGAACACTGAAAGACGAGTTGATATGAGACAGAATTGTCGTCGGTATACAAAATGCAAACCTTTCACAAAGGCTAATGCAAGATGATAAATTAACATTGGAGAAAGCTATTAGGGAGGTGAAATATCATCGGAGCTTGTCAAGCACCATCACGATATTCTAAAAGGAGACAGCGAAAATGGGCTGATTGGTCGCGTAAGAACAAATCAACGAAAAGGTAATGATACGACACAAAAATCGAAGTTAAAATGGAATCAGAATAGGAGTCCCGATCAACATTCGAGAAAGAAAAACCGTCAATGTTCTCGATGTGGAAGATCAACAATTCACAAAAGAGAGGATTGTCCAGCGAACAATAAAACTTGTTTAAAGTGTAATATACAAGGGCATTTTGCAGGGGTATGCAGAAGTAACTCAAGCGCAAAAATTCAATCAGTTGATGACAAAAGCACGGATTCCCCAGGAGATATTTTTTTGGGACAATTAACGATATAGAAAATGAGGGAAAATGGGCAATCGACTTATTATTAGGAAAGTCTAAAGTGAAAATTAAGATTGATACGGTCGCTGTTGTGACGGTGATTCCAGAACCGGTGTTTATGCAAACAGGCATAACTTGGATGCAATCAACTAATAAAGAATTGTTCGGGCCAAATCAAGCAAAGCTGTCAGTAAAGGGAAAAATTTGAGCAAAATTGAGAACTGCTACTTCAAAAACAACAGAGCAAGATATTTATATTGTGAAAAATTTGAAAGAGCCATTGGTGGGACGTCCAGCTATCAATGCCCTTGATCTAATAGCGACAGTCGAAGCGATTCAGTCAAATGATGCAAGTGATATGGAAGAAGAAATAAAGGTTACTTATCCAAACTTGTTTAAAGGTCTGGGTGAATTAGACGGAGAATACAACATCAAATTAAAACCTGGTGCTATCCCATTTGCGTTAACCACACCTAGAAGAATACCTTTAACGATGACAAAGAAAGTTCATGATGAATTGACGCGCATGGAAAAACTTGGCGTTATTTCAAAGGTTAATATTCCTACCGATTGGTGCGCTGGTATGGTTGTTGTTCCAAAAGCAGATGCTAAAATAAGGATCTGTGTTGATTTCACAAAGTTAAATGAGTGGGTCTTGCGAGAAATTTATCCACTTCCGAAGATCGAAAGTCTTTTGGCAGAAATAAGAGGATCAAAATATTTTTCGAAGCTAGATTGTAACTACATTTATTACTCCGTTCGGAAGATTCTGTTTCAACAGAATGCCTTTCGCTATTAAATCTGCACCTGAGTATTTTCAGAAAAGGATGAAACAGATGCTGGAGAAACAAGATGGTTAAGTAAGCATAATTGACGACGTACTTGTTCATGGAAAGACAAAAAATGAACACGACAGTAGACTGAAAGCTGTGCTGAAAAAATTTGACAATGCTGGAGTAACACTAAATCCTGAGAAGTGTGAGTTTGCTAAGAAGATGGTAAAGTTTGCAGGTAATATAGTGAGTGAAGATGGAATTCAAGTAGACCCAGAAAAGATTGAAGCAGTACAAGGTATGGAAGTGCCACAAAATGTGAGTGAAGTGCGAAGATTTTTGGGAATGGTTAATCAATTGGGAAAATTCATTCCAAATTTGTCTGAAAAAACAAAACCTATTAGAGATCTATTGAGTACAAAGAATGAATTTCAGTGGGGAGGTGCTCAACAAAAAGCTTTTGAAGAGATGAAAACTGAATTAAGTTCTGTACGAGTTTTAGCCTATTATGACCCAACGAAGCGAACTGTTTTGGCAGCCGACGCATCGTCGTATGGTATAGGAGCAGTTCTTTGGCAATTAAATAAGAAAGGAGAAAATAAACCAGTCGCTTATGCGTCAAAATCAATGACAACTACCGAAGAACGATGTGCTCAGATTGAAAAGGAAGCATTGGCAACAACTTGGGCTTGTGAGAAATTTAATGATTATATTTTAGGAATGGATTTTGCGATAGAAACAGATCATAAACCCTTGGTTCCTCTGCTTAGCTCGAAGATATTAGACCAACTTCCTCCAAGAATACAGAGATTCAAGATGAGGCTGATGAAATATTCGTTTACTATTCGTCACATACTAGGAAAAGAGTTGGTTGTAGCGGATGTATTGTCTCGAGCTCCTATTATGAAACAACCTACAAAATCTGATAACAATTTATCCCAAGATTTGAACATTTATGTTGCACAGATTGTTCAAAACATACCAGCTAGTGAGAGAAGGCTAGAAGAAATTCGCCGACACCAACAAGAAGATCCGGTTTGTACGAAACTTGTGGAATTTTGTTCGGAAGGTTGGCCGGACAGAAATCGAATTACTAGTACCTTGTTACCTTATTATTTTGAAAGAGCAACAATTACAATGCAGAAAAGAATGTTAATGAAAGACTCCCGCTTAATAATTCCATCATCGCTACGTTTAGATATTCTAGAAAAGATTCATGCTGGCTATCAAGGCATCCGTAAGAGTCGTGAAAGAGCAAGAGAATCTGTTTGGTGGCCTGGACTAAGTAAGCACATTGAAAACATGGTTACTGATTGTTCCATTTGTTGTAAATACAGAGAAAATCATGCAGAGCCGTTACTAACAACGTGTTTTCTTCAACGACCGTGGCAGAAAGTTGCTACAGACTTGTTTGAACATAGCGGAAAAAATTATGTGCTTGTAGTAGATTATTATTCTAGATAGCTATTTTGAAATTGCTCCTTTGAAAAAAAGCACAACTGCAGAAGATGTTATCAATCATATGAAATCCATATTTTCTCGTCATGGTATACCAGAAACAGTTGTGTCGGATAATGGTCCACAGTATGCTGCAGCTGTTTTTTCCAAATTTGCTGAAGAATGGGGATTTACACATTTAAGAAGTAGTTCTCGCTATCCTCAAAGTAATGGAGAAGCAGAAAGGGCTGTAAAAACTGCAAAAAAATTAATCATAAAATCCGAAGATCCTTATTCAGGTTTACTTGCATACAGATCATCACCATTCCAGAACGGGTACTCACCAGCAGAATTATTAATGTGGAGGAAATTACGTTCTAATCTACCAGTAATATCCGAAAAGTTAACTCCAAAGCTTGCTGATACGGCAAAATTGAGAAGAGACGAAGAAAGTTACAAACGACGTCAAGCAGAAAACTTTAATTGTCGTCACAGAGCTTCAGTCCTTCCAGACTTGAGTCCTGATGAAAAGGTTTGGGTAAAAGATATAAAATCACCAGCTGTGGTTGTGGGAAAAACCGATGAACCAAGATCATATATAGTCAGGACAGAGCAGTCTGTTTTAAGAAGAAATAGAAAACATCTTATCCCTGATCCTGAAAATCTGAGGGAAAACAGTGAGTTGAACGAAAGAAGAAAGATGAGTTTCAGTGATAAGAACGAAGTGAACGAATCTTCAAGTAGTTTGGACAATGAACAGGAATCGAAGGTAATTCGAACCCGTTCAGGAAGAATTATTAAACCCCCAAATAGATTGAACTTAGAAAACTTTTGAAAGATATTTTTTGTATAGTTATAGGTATAAATATTTATTATTAATTAGTTATTCTTTATATTAAAAAGGGAAGATGTGTAGACGTCACTTCCTGTTGAATATTACTTCCGCTTATAATGTATATATATAGAGGACATTTAGATAAGAGACACTTAATAAAAACTCTACATTTTCTGCCTTTTGTGAATGTAAAGGTGGTTCAGAACAGGGATGCAAGCACTTGGGTGCTTGTATGTTTGAACTTGAAGGGTTCTTTGTCAGGTGAAAGAACTTCAGTGACTTCACTTCCAGTATATTGGCAACCAAAGCCAACACCAAGAAATAAGCCCTTGCCATTGCTGGAAATGAAAATTTGTCACTCGGTGAAATCCAAACGGAAAAGGAAACATGTATCTCTCGACGACTCTTGAGTTGACTCATTTGACCCAATGCCAAATCGTATGAGAACCACAATAAGTGAAGTAGACAAAGTAGAATTTGCCAGGAAGTTGAGAGACATTGATGAAAATTCTGGTATTTTGGATTTCCTTCCTGAGTGCCCATATTCAGACAAAGTAAAAAAAATGAAAACTGTTTTTAAACTTTATAGTCCTAACACAGAAACAAAAGCTAAAATATTTGCAAGGGAAAATCAACATTTGATTAAAAAAAGAGTGAAGAAAGCCTGTGATACCTTCATTAGCACATTAAAATGCACTGAAGAAGAACAATTGTTCATTTCAGCTGCAACAAAAGGACAATCCAAAAATGAGGAATGGCATAAAATGAGACATGCCGTGGTAACAGGCAAAAAAGTCAAAGCTATTTACACCAGACAAAAAACAAAAGAGCGCAACCCTTCGGCTGATTTATCAAAAACTGTTGCTAATTTCTTGGAAGACAAGAACAATTTGATAAACTCAAATGCTATGCAATATTGACTAGACAAAGAAAAAGGGGCTCTGTATCTTAACAGGAGACTGCGTACAAAGAAGCATGAAAAAGTTAAAATAGAAGAACCTGGGTTACTTGTTGACCCCAAAAATTTATGGATGGGAGTGAGTTTGAATGGAATATGGTAATGTGAATGTTGTGGTTCAAGGACACTTGAAATTAAGTGCCCTCTAACATGCAAGAATATGGATCCCAAATCTGCATTTTTCTCAACAGCTATTGGTGGGAAAACTAATGATAGTGCAAAGAAAGTGTTGAAAGGAACCATTTACATTACTTTCAAGTCCAAATGGGTATGGCTATAAGCCAAATCAACAAATGTGATTTTATTGTATTTACAGAAAAAGAAATTGATAAAGTATAAATACCATTTGATGCTGACTTCTGTAGTGATGTATTTAAAACTGTGTTTCTTTTCTATAAGAATTATATTATTAGTAATCTTTTATTGACATATGTGCAATGATAAAATTTTATAATTACAAATGATAGTTTTTCAAAATAAAACTATTAAGTATAATTTATTTTAGATTATGTAAGGATTACTTTATACCACGCTTTCCTAAATTACATATAGCGGCATACAAAAACAAAATGTTGTCCAAAACTGGTTTTAATGTCAATGGAATAACTCCTGATAAAATCTGAATTGCTTTAGTTTCATTATATTCCTTTCAACATGAGATCTTAATGATGCAACACGGCCGAGTATGAGTTGTTCCACGAGAGGAAAGTCTTGGTCCACGACAATAGGCAGGAGAAATAAGGTGAACTTTCTTCACCACAAGTAGATCTCTTGACCTTGTCATGCCAACCTGGACGATCGACATTTACAAACATGTAGAGAAACTTCGTGTTATTTATATTTTGTGTGTTAGTGCCAGACCTAATAGAGAGCTATTTCGCACGATAATACTGGCAACATAAGTAAAATGCCTAAAAGAAATAAATATTTGACTCGTGCATTAGGTTGGATTTAAGTAATTGTTGCGAAGATAATATTTTGAAAGTTATAATCGTATTGTGCAAGACAAGGCGCGCTTTTTTTAAAGGTCTGCCTCAAATTCGTCGTCAATGGCATCATTAAAAAACTTCTCTTTCTAAACATCATTGTCGTCATCAATATCTACATTTGTGCATGCAGTACACGACCAAACATCTGTGTACTTCACTCCTGCTTTGTTACATGAACAACGTTGTGAGTTACAGCACGTTACAGCCAGTCCTACAACAACAATGAACGTTATCAAGTAGGAAATCCGGCGCTAGGGGAATGGTCATCCATACGATTTCAGACTTGCAGTTTCCCGTCACTCGTTTGCCACCCATTTTCATCTGGAGGAGGAATATCCATTTGTGGTTGTAAACAGAAAGGCCAAAGCGCAGCTTGGTAGTTTGACCAACGAATATGTTGAAGCAAACTGTCACACGTTGGTGGTAGTTGCTCATCTGAACACTTTCCTGCCTTGAACAACGATAGCCGACATTTGTTGAAGCCTCAAAGTTCTTTTCACCGTAAACAAACAAATCAATTTAGTTGAAAAACAATTTCTTCTGACGGGGGAAATGCACTTCCTAAGAAACTAAATGAGTTTAAATATTTGTGATTACGTAGAAGAATGTTTCATGCTGTTTTTTCCCTTTCCATAAAAAGAACTGGTGCTCAGTGGCGTAGCCAGCCCGCTAATTTGGTCGTGCTATGTAAATTTAAGACCATTATCATTATTCATTTCTTTAGAAATATATTGTTTTTACAGTGAGTGAACACAGAAAAATTTACATAGCACGACCAAACTTGCGGGCTGGCTACGCTCCTGCTGGTGCTGTCAAATACCTTAGGTTGAAGTTTGATTTGGATTCTACGAAGTCATTGGTCGGGAGCTAAGAGTCATGTGAGAACGCGCGCGATCCATGAAGCTCATTCTTCAAAGATGCGATCATATGAAAATATGAAAATAAAGCGTGTGAACAGGACAAGGTCCCTATTACAAAATTTTGTATCCCAGACGGGTGGACACATCAGTCCTTACCTCCCGACCAATGACCTTACAGAATTCAAATCAAACTTCAACTTAGGGTAAGTTTCGTTTAATTTTTAACTTCTACTTCATCATTGGTCATTGGTGGCTAAGGAGCCACGTGAGACTTCAAAGCAATATGATCACAAGGATGGCATATATATATAAACCATAAACATCGAGAAATTAAAAACATGTTTATGCGTAAAGCTACGTGATTGAACTGAACAACTCATTACTGTAGTTCAAGTCCTTCTGAATAGGCAAATTATAAAATTTTTGAAATGTCAGATCTGAATTCGAGCCTTGAGGCAACTAGATCAATATCAGATGTAAACTGAGCACACTGTATTATATGTGACAGGATAGCAGAGTCAAGAGCCCACTCACTGGAGCCTGAGGCCCTACGCGACTCTTTATCAGCAAGGGTATTTTTTATCCCGAGAATATGTGAAGCGGAAAGCCATACCTTATTATTTACACACCAATCCCATACTGATCTACAAGCGATATTGCATTCTCTAGAGTAGCTTGTACCCATATTGTTTAAGGTAACTAGAGCTGTCGTATTGTCAATAAGCACATAAACATGATTACCTTTCACCTCATTGCACAATGCTTTTAGTGTCATAAGCACTGCTAATATTTCCAGATAGTTTATATGAAAGAAGACTCTGTATGAGTCAAATGGCCCCCTGTGCTAGTGTGTTCCAACATCCCATCCCAAACAGTTGTTGAGGCATCGGTTTGTATAACCGCATTATACGTGCTATGGGATTATACCATTGAGTTCTATAAGACCTGGAGGGGAAAAGGGCCTGGATCCCGTGGTCAAAAACATGGCGGTAATGGCGGATTTTGGTGGTCAAAACTTCCACTTTGAAATTTTTTTTCAATATTCACTCCCTCCTGATTTTTTATACGAACGATAACAAGTGAGAAAAAAACAATTACGCTACCGACAGCATATCATGTGACAATAATGCTTCCGCATTGCGTGAAAACACAGTACACACACACATCAAGATAAAGAAAATCGACGGTAGAGAAACGCATATTTTGGCTGTAACATTTAATTTATTTAATTTAACATTTAACATTTAACCTTTTAAAAGGGAAAATCAAACGGCATTCTTTAGAAGACCTGTCAATCTCGTCAAACATATACATTATTTCATGCTTCTGTGTGTTTACTGTTTCTAAACAGTTTGGTGCAACTATTTTTCTTGCTCAAATGGATAAATCTGTGTTAAATGCTCCTAAGGAAGCGAGAAAATATTTGCTTCAGTTCTACGACATAAGTCAACTGAAAATTTACCATTGATAAGTATCATAAGTGTATTGTCATTACCTGATAAATCTACTGAAAACTCATAAAGAAAGTATGTTGAACTAGAAGAGCTACAAATAAAAAAAAATTCAAAACACCATGATATGTTGGTTGGAAATTTGTATTTTGTAAACTGCTTGGCAGAACCTTGGGTCTATTACTGAAAACAACTACATTAATTTTCCATTGAAATTACAAACTTGGAAACTAAAGTGCATTGGTTTCTCTGACAAAAACACTCTGTCTATTGCTGCATGAAGTCAAAATAGTTAATTGACAGTGTAGGCGAAGAAATTTATCAAGTTCTATAGATATTATTGTGTATTAATTACAGTCTTTTGGAATTGTGTAATGTATGACAAGAACAAGATATAAGTTTTCAAAAATGCTAACCCCTTCGAGCACTACTACTCTTCTGTTTTGCTTGAACAACTTACAGCTACCAATACTAATTATATCTACAAACTAACGATTGGGAATTAAATGATAAACAGCTTGATAAATCTTTGCATTTTTCATGAAGACTTTGAATTTGTTTCTTTTATCTTTTGGTAAAAAAATATTAATGAAAGACTTACAAATCAAGTTTCTCAAAAATAGTATTTTGTTTTAAGAAACTAAACAAAATTGAAAAGGTCACATGTTGAAGACAGACTTTGCTTCTTTGACTAGGTTGCTTGACCATGAGCAATTTGAATTTGTTTACAATTTGCTTAAAGAATTCTTTTTATTGATTTGTACTAATTCTTCATAAGACACAAAGAATTTCTTTGCCATCTATTTTTGCTTCCTCCACATTCAACTTCATTCTAACCAATGCATCTGATGTGAATTTGTGGATCACCTGGAATCATACCAAGTATGGATTTGGTGAGATGAGACAATATGTATAATTATTCATGCATATTAATGATATAATCATAAGCTATTGTTGAACAAAAATTTCAAGGTAGGAGTAAGTCTTAGCATATTTTTCAACACACTTCTTTTATCTTGGTTTTCAAGTATTAACCTGTTTACAATAACAATTAATACTTCATTTACAGAAACACTAAGTAGTACTTTAAAACTGTTTGCATAAATCCAACTTTCCAAACCCATTATAATTGTCTACACTATACAGTCAGTCAAATTGAGCAGGCAAGTAGTTTAATAGTTATTTTTATTATACAGCATATACCGTAGTTCTCGTTAACTTTGCATGGCACTGCATTCAATTTCAACACAACTCTGTTGTAAACTTTCCCTTCATCTTTTAAAAAAATATGAACTAATTCTGCCCCATTTTGGGAGGTAAACTCAATTCAAATCAGGAGAGTTTGGCTTGATCATGATACAAGATGGATGCAAACCTCAATAAAAATTGGCTGCTTCGCCACGTCTGGCGAGTGATAAAGTGAAGAACAAACAAGACTGGACCAAAATAACTTTAAATCAAAACTTAGTGGTAGAGACACTCTTCAAGTATCGTGCTAAAAACAAAATAGTAAAACTACTACTGTACTACTTACCAGAGTCATGAAATGTTTCCTTTTCTATCGCTATTTCAGCATCCGCACACCACGGAAGTTTGCAGATTGTTTAATAAATAAAATTTTAAAAAAGTGTATATGTTAGGAAAATAGTTTTGATATTTTCTATACTTCCAATCGTGGTGGTCAAATCAGGGTGGGCGACAAAAATTTTATTTCATGAGCCCGCGTCTCTCCGTTGACTTTGACCACCAAAATCCGCCATGTTTTTGACCACGCGGCCGCGCGCTAATAATCTATAGTAATTTTGTTGACGTTTCCCCTCCAGGTCTTATAGAACTCAATGAATTATACATTAAATGTACTGGGGACAGAAGCCATCCACCATTGTAGATCATTGATACTAGATTTGGATAAGTTCACAAAAGTATTAAAATTCCCCTTTATTCTTCCTCAGAGCATCATTTTCATCCATGTCAATGCTGCGGTATTGAAGTGAACCAAACATAACAGCAGGAAAACTTGCTGTCATCATGTCAACAAGTGATGCAACCTCACGAATAATGTTTCTAGGTTTTGAAAGCACATCTCGGCAGAATTTAATTAAACCTTCTGTTCTATCTGGAGTTAAAACGATTTTCATTTCCACTGAGTCTAATATGAAGGTACGTTTACTTTTGTGTTGGTGACATGACTGATTTTTCCGGTTGAGCAATAAGACGTAGCCAGTGAAAAATACTCAAAGTACATTTTACATTTGTAACACAGTCTACATAATCACCTCCTTGCAAATAGGAGTCATTTATGTACCCTGATGACTCATGACCTTGTTGTGAAAGCAAGGTTTAAGCATTTAGTAAGCATACGAGGGCAACATGCAAGCCCATTGGGAAAGCAAACAAATTTGTATAATTTTCCTTGCCAACGAAACTTGAGGTACTTTTGGTGACCTAGGGAGATAGGTACGGTCACAGGGGCGGATCCAGACCGATGCAACCGATGTGAATGCATCGGTGAAAATTTTTAGATAATAAAATCTACGAGTTTGCATTTTAATGAAATAAATTGGCAATATTATTTAAAACACATTTTATTGTGATATATTGTTTACTTATACTATACATTTGGCAGTTTTAAGCTAAAATTTGTTCTAGAAATAACATTTGTGTTCTCCGATAATTTTGTCATATTTCACGACACAAAGAGGGAAAGAAAAGCCGATAAAATTTAGCGAAATCTTGCGTGAATACGTAATTACTAAGTTGCCAGCACGTCACAGTAGATGGAAGATGCATCGTTACGTCACAGTAGATTTGCTATGCATCGGTCGATGCATCTATCCCGAGTCCTTTTCCGCGTGGAATCTACTGTGACATGAGCAAAACGATTGTTTTAGGGTCTCACGTCACGCTAGATTTTGCCGCTGAGCGATGCATTTTCCATAATTTTGTAATTGTGGCACATGGCACCGATGCATTGCATTTGAGCATTGAACTGTAATGTTGTTATTTGATCACTATGATATAAGTTTCGTCTTGACGAAACGTTACGCTTCTAAATAAATATCTCTTTTTATGCATTAAATGGCTCTTTTAAAAGCACTTTGCTGGGCTTTGATGTTTATATTAAGAATTCACTTGATATAACTCGAGATCATGATCGAAGCCATGCCTGTCGAGAATATCAAACACAATCTGTGTACTCTGCTACGAGAAGAGAACCTTTGGATATTGATGGAGTGCGTCAAAGTTGTGAAACGAAAGCTGCTACTTTAATTTCAAAATTCTCTCCTCGGAGTCCCTTTTAAAAGGGGAAATTGGGAGAGATGAGTCATTCGAAATATTAATTCGTGAACACTTGACAGTTATTGGCAAAGTGAAGAACTAAGAGTTTTAAAGCAAGGAATTTTACCTTTATGCGTGGGTATTTTATATGGAAACAGTGTAAACTCTTCAGACTCAGACTGTAGTCTTATAGATAACAACGAACAATTATTTAAACTTATACGTGATGCCATATTACTTATACAGCACTTATATTTATATTCATATGTAGGACAATACAAACTATAATATGTAAGGATGCGTACCATTTTAATATTCTTAATTGTATTTTAGATTAAATGGGTTTTTTTGATAAAATCTATGCTTAAGATTTTTCTATGACCCTTCCCAAATCGCTGGAAATCGCTTCTCCAACAGTGAAAATTCAAAAAATTTTCTGAGAGATCATGCCTCCAGACGCCCTAGCGACGGCTTGGGCCTTTAGCGCTCCCAATGCATCGGTCAGCTTAGGAGCTGGATCCGCTCCTGGGTACAGAGTAATAGGCATTTTTTAATCAACTGAAACCATATAACAATGTGGTTTTATCAAGCTAATGGCAGATTGCAAAGTATCCATTTTAAAATAATGGTAAGTGACATGCTCATTAAACAACTTTAGGTTTAGCATCATACGATACGATCCATCTTTCTTAGAAGTAAGGAAGATGGGTGAAATAAACTCCCCAGACTCAGAAAAAGAAGGGATAATAACACGTTTAGCAAGCAGACTTTTGATTTCAGAATTGATGAGAATTTTATTATTACAGCTAAATAATTTCTCTTTAGGAAATTTTGTATGCACTGGGGGTGAGGAGAATTCCATATGTGCTCCTGACATCATGTCTAAAATAAATTCCTCTGAGGTTAGCAATTTCCATTGATCCACATAAAAAGCCAGTCTACCGACCTTAAATTCGGTATTTTTAAGTCGGGAAAATTTTAAAAGAGCAAGTATAAGGAGTCAAAATCCTGTACCTGTAATGTACTTAAGGTTTTGATCATATCTTGTGTACTCAAGGTTTGGTCTTTTTCCATTATTTGTTTTGCATTGGACTCCACGAACTTGCTTGCTCCATAGGGGGTTGTTCAGCCTCCCCCTTCCCCCCCAAAAGAACTTTGGTCATTTCGGGATGGATGTTTCCAAGACTCTTTGCCTTTGATAGGCTGTCCTGAAGACTGTGACGAGGCCATTGTATTTCCAATCTTTGCATAATTTCGTAAAAGCACTATTGCTAATGCGCATTTAATATACACGACGAGTTTTTTTTAGAGTAAATGGTTTGAACCCGAGAGTATCGTTACATGTTTGTCAATGTTTATCATCCAGGTTGGTATATTTCTGAGAAGGACTGTTTTTGTTGTTGTTGACTGACGTTTCGACAACCTTAGCGGTAATCATCTTCAGAGTCAAATGAGGAGTAAACGTCGGGTTAGCCGTATTTGTTATCTGGTTCTTACGTCATTGTATTGTGTGTACAGGAAATGTGTATTGTCATTGTGAATTAGTGTGAAGTGAAATATTTTTAATTTTACTTGTGATGTGTGATTTAGGTGTGATGTTTTTAGTTGTAACGTGTGGGTGTCAATTGTGTATTGTCATTGTGAATTTGTGTGAAGTGTAATGTTTTTAGTTGATCGTTTGTTTGTATTGTGAATAAGTCATTTGTAAGGTGCCGGTTGTAGAGTTTTTATTAAGTGCCCCCTTATCTAAATGTCCTCTATATATATATAACTATACAAAAAATATCTTTCAAAAGTTTTCTAAGTTCAATCTATTTGGGGGTTTAATAATTCTTCCTGAACGGGTTCGAATTACCTTCGATTCCTGTTCATTGTCCAAACTACTTGAAGATTCGTTCACTTCGTTCTTATCACTGAAACTCATTTTTCTTCTTTCGTTCAACTCACTGTTTTCCTCAGATTTTCATATATGATCTTGGTTCATCAGTTTTTCCCACAACCACAGCTGGTGATTTTATATCTTTTACCCAAACCTTTTCATCAGGACTCAAGTCTGGAAGGACTGAAGCTCTGTGACGACAATTAAAGTTTTCTGCTTGACGTCGTTTGTAACTTTCTTCGTCTCTTCTCAATTTTGCCGTATCAGCAAGCTTTGGAGTTAACTTTTCGGATATTACTGGTAGATTAGAACGTAATTTCCTCCACATTAATAATTCTGCTGGTGAGTACCCGTTCTGGAATGGTGATGATCTGTATGCAAGTAAACCTGAATAAGGATCTTCGGATTTTATGATTAATTTTTTTGCAGTTTTTACAGCCCTTTCTGCTTCTCCATTACTTTGAGGATAGCGAGAACTACTTCTTAAATGTGTAAATCCCATTCTTCAGCAAATTTGGAAAAACAGCTGCAGCATACTGTGGACCATTATCCGACACAACTGTTTCTGGTATACCATGACGAGAAAATATGGATTTCATATGATTGATAACATCTTCTGCAGTTGTGCTTTTTTTCAAAGGAGCAATTTCAAAATAGCTATCTAGAATAATAATCTACTACAAGCACATAATTTTTCCGCTATGTTCAAACAAGTCTGTAGCAACTTTCTGCCACGGTCGTTGAAGAAAACACGTTGTTAGTAACGGCTCTGCATGATTTTCTCTGTATTTACAACAAATGGAACAATCAGTAACCATGTTTTCAATGTGCTTACTTAGTCCAGGCCACCAAACAGATTCTCTTGCTCTTTCACGACTCTTACGGATGCCTTGATAGCCAGCATGAATCTTTTCTAGAATATCTAAACGTAGCGATGATGGAATTATTAAGCGGGAGTCTTTCATTAACATTCTTTTCTGCATTGTAATTGTTGCTCTTTCAAAATAATAAGGTAACAAGGTACTAGTAATTCGATTTCTGTCCGGCCAACCTTCCGAACAAAATTCCACAAGTTTCGTACAAACCGGATCTTCTTGTTGGTGTCGGCGAATTTCTTCTAGCCTTCTCTCACTAGCTGGTATGTTTTGAACAATCTGTGCAACATAAATGTTCAAATCTTGGGATAAATTGTTATCAGATTTTGTAGGTTGTTTCATAATAGGAGCTCGAGACAATACATCCGCTACAACCAACTCTTTTCCTAGTATGTGACGAATAGTAAACGAATATTTCATCAGCCTCATCTTGAATCTCTGTATTCTTGGAGGAAGTTGGTCTAATATCTTCGAGCTAAGCAGAGGAACCAAGGGTTTATGATCTGTTTCTATCACAAAATCCATTCCTAAAATATAATCATTAAATTTCTCACAAGCCCAAGTTGTTGCCAATGCTTCCTTTTCAATCTGAGCACATCGTTCTTCGGTAGTTGTCATTGATTTTGACGCATAAGCGACTGGTTTATTTTCTCCTTTCTTATTTAATTGCCAAAGAACTGCTCCTATACCATACGACGATGCGTCGGCTGCCAAAACAGTTCGCTTCGTTGGGTCATAATAGGCTAAAACTCGTACAGAACTTAATTCAGTTTTCATCTCTTCAAAAGCTTTTTGTTGAGCACCTCCCCACTGAAATTCATTCTTTGTACTCAATAGATCTCTAATAGGTTTTGTTTTTTCAGACAAATTTGGAATGAATTTTCCCAATTGATTAACCATTCCCAAAAATCTTCGCACTTCACTCACATTTTGTGGCACTTCCATACCTTGTACTGCTTCAATCTTTTCTGGGTCTACTTGAATTCCATCTTCACTCACTATATTACCTGCAAACTTTACCATCTTCTTAGCAAACTCACACTTCTCAGGATTTAGTGTTACTCCAGCATTGTCAAATTTTTTCAGCACAGCTTTCAGTCTACTGTCGTGTTCATTTTTTGTCTTTCCATGAACAAGTACGTCGTCAATTATGCTTACTTAACCATCTTGTTTCTCCAGCATCTGTTTCATCCTTTTCTGAAAATACTCAGGTGCAGATTTAATAGCGAAAGGCATTCTGTTGAAACAGAATCTTCCGAACGGAGTAATAAATGTAGTTACAATCTAGCTTCGAAAATATTTTGATCCTCTTATTTCTGCCAAAAGACTTTCGATCTTCGGAAGTGGATAAATTTCTCGCAAGACCCACTCATTTAACTTTGTGAAATCAACACAGATCCTTATTTTAGCATCTGCTTTTGGAACAACAACCATACCAGCGCACCAATCGGTAGGAATATTAACCTTTGAAATAACGCCAAGTTTTTCCATGCGCGTCAATTCATCATGAACTTTCTTTGTCATCGTTAAAGGTATTCTTCTAGGTGTGGTTAACGCAAATGGGATAGCACCAGGTTTTAATTTGATGTTGTATTCTCCGTCTAATTCACCCAGACCTTTAAACAAGTTTGGATAAGTAACCTTTATTTCTTCTTCCATATCACTTGCATCATTTGACTGAATCGCTTCGACTGTCGCTATTAGATCAAGGGCATTGATAGCTGGACGTCCCACCAATGGCTCTTTCAAATTTTTCACAATATAAATATCTTGCTCTGTTGTTTTTGAAGTAGCAGTTCTCAATTTTGCTCAAATTTTTCCCTTTACTGACAGCTTTGCTTGATTTGGCCCGAACAATTCTTTATTAGTTGATTGCATCCAAGTTATGCCTGTTTGCATAAACACCGGTTCTGGAATCACCGTCACAACAGCGACCGTATCAATCTTAATTTTCACTTTAGACTTTCCTAATAATAAGTCGATTGCCCATTTTCCCTCATTTTCTATATCGTTAATTGTCCCAAAAAAATATCTCCTGGGGAATCCGTGCTTTTGTCATCAACTGATTGAATTTTTGCGCTTGAGTTACTTCTGCATACCCCTGCAAAATGCCCTTGTATATTACACTTTAAACAAGTTTTATTGTTCGCTGGACAATCCTCTCTTTTGTGAATTGTTGATCTTCCACATCGAGAACATTGACGGTTTTTCTTTCTCGAATGTTGATCGGGACTCCTATTCTGATTCCATTTTAACTTCGATTTTTGTGTCGTATCATTACCTTTTCGTTGATTTGTTCTTACGCGACCAATCAGCCCATTTTCGCTGTCTCCTTTTAGAATATCGTGATGGTGCTTGACAAGCTCCGATGATTTCACCTCCCTAATAGCTTTCTCCAATGTTAATTTATCATCTTGCATTAGCCTTTGTGAAAGGTTTGCATTTTGTATACCGACGACAATTCTGTCTCATATCAACTCGTCTTTCAGTGTTCCGAATTGGCAAGTTTCCGCCAGTTTGTACAAATCTTCCACAAAGTCGATGACTGATTCTTTTTCACCCTGTATTCGTTTATTGAACCGAGCACGCTCGAAAATTGTGTTCGATCGACCAACAAAGTGCGATGCAAATTGTTCTACAACATTTCCGTACACCATATCTCTTTCGCTTATTTGAAAGCTTTTTAAATGATCATTGGTATTGCCTCCCATAGCATATACCAAAGTATTGATTTGTACTTTATCATCTTTTTCGTCTAAGCCAGCTGCGATGCGATAACATTCGAATCGTTCAATCCATCGCTTCCAATCTTCGGGCTTTTTCGATTCTAATTTTTCTGGCAATGGAATTTGTGTTTGAAATGCCATTTCTCATTTATCTCCACGTCTCTTGTCCACTGGTCTTTACCATTTTAGACAGAATCCCATCTCTACCACCATGTAGAGTTTTGATTGAGTGCGTCTACACACCGGTAATTGCTGTGATCTGTTTAGGGGGGTTTGTTAAAAGTTAGTATACCAACTTTCTAATGTAAGCCGTTGTCTATTGTCAGTACTGTAAGCAATGCATTTAGCCGAGTCCCAGTCAATGTTGTGCTTTGTGATTCGGTGATGTTCGGCAATGTGATTAGTTTTGTCTTGTTTCTTAGTAGCTCGTTTGTGTTCAGTAAGTCTTATGTTTAAGTTCTTGCCAGTTTCCCCGATATAGGAGGCATGGCAGTCGGAGCAGTTTATTTTGTAAACTACCTTGTCGTTCGTTGGGTTGTTCTTTGTCTTTTATGTTCGTTAGTACTTGTCGTAACTTTGTGATTGGTTTATGTGCGACACGTATGTTGTATAGTCGTAAGATACGTGAGATAGTCTCAGACGTACCTTTGATGTAAGGTATCGTTGCTGTTGTCACTGAGTTGTTCTTTGATGTAAGTGTTGCGTTTGATAAAGTAGGGGTTATTATTGTTTTTGTCAAAACACGTTTGAGATAGTTGTTTTCGTTGTGTAGAGCGTCCGGTGAATCACATATGATTCGTGCACGTCTTGTTAGTGTTCTGATTGTGGTGGCTTTGTGTGATGTAGGGTTGTAAGATGATTGGTGTAGTAGTCGGTCAGTATGTGTTGGTCTTGCGATAAACTGTTGTTCGTAGTTTTTGATTGTCATGTTTTACCAAACAGTCCAGAAGAGGAAGAGTTCCGTTTTCTTCGACATCTTTAAATTGTATGTGGCTGTTCTGTTTGTTGATGCGAGTATGAAAGTCATCAATCTCGTATGCATGTAGTGCTGTGATTGTGTCATCTACGTAGCGGAACCAAAAAACCTAGTGCATGTTTGTAAGTCGTGTGCGCCCGTTCCTCTATAGATTGCATTACAATTTCAGCAACTACAACAGAAACGGGTGAGCCCATTGCTGTTCCATGTAATTGTTGTAGTGTGTACCTTTGTACTGGAAGTAAGTCGAGGTGAGGCAGAGCTCCAGTAGCTCCATAATGTCTTCTGTCAGTAATGACAGTACGTCAATGGTCAATAAATTTGTACGTCCACGAAAAAACATTGATAATAATTGTTTTTGGTAAAATACATTTACAAAACTGATGTCTGTTTAGAATTTTATGTGCATTTCTATGCTACTTTGAAACAAAAACGCTTCAGTTTTTGGCACATTCGTAGACATACAACAATAGCAAAATGCCTTCTTTCATGGTTGGGGATGGCTTTCTTTACAAAAATGTAATTGTCAGAAAGTTGTGTATACTTGGTTTTAAGAATGATTTGTGAAAGTTTTGTATGCCAAATTAAGCCAAAAAGAATTTTTGTTTTGTTTTTGAAGCTTTGTAGTTTGTAAACGTTATTTACGCATCTGTCTATCGGCAGCGTGTTTACAAATGCGTGGAAATACTGGGCTCTACTGGCTTCAAATATATGGTGTCCATATATGGTGTTCCCAATGGTGTTCCTCAAGGGTCTATATTGGGTCCACTTCATTTTATCATCTTTTTAACGACTTTCCTGATTGTATCAACGAGAGTCAGTTTTTGATATATGCTGATGACTCAGTAATTTATTCAGCTGGTAAAAATGTTGAAGAGATTGAAAAAACGTTAACAAATGATTTAAAGTTTATTGCTGATTATGTTGATGAGAATGAACTGATCATTAATCTGAAAAAGGGTAAGACCGAGGCTATGTTATTTGGAACAGCAAAAAGGATCTCACTCCAAAATCGTCAAATGCAAATCAACTATCGTGATACACCAATAAACAACACTGAAAGATATACGTACATGGGCTACATACTAGACAAAAACCTAACAATGCAAGAAAATTTTGATAAAGCATATAAGAAGTCCTGCAACCGACTTAAGCTCCTATCTAAACTATGCCATTTTATGAACGCAGACACAGCTCTAAGGATATACAAAACAATGATTCAACCTGTCATGAATTATGCTGGAATGCTTAAACTGCAACTAACAGGTACCCAGTTAAGTAGAATGGAATCAATTGAAAGGAGATTACAAAATATGATTCAAGTTTCGTGAAAGTTGGTACCCTCTACTTTAAAGAGCATACAAAAACGAGCTATTAAAGCAGTGAGGCAATGCCTGGACAAAAAAAATGTGCCAATTTCCATGATTACTTTGAAATAAATAACAAAAATTGTCATACAAGAAACATGGGATCTCTTATAAGAATTCCAAAAGTCAAATTAGATTTTGCTAGACAATCTTTTTACATTCAAGGTGCAAAACTTTATAACAATATGCCCTTTGAAATAAGGAATGAGAAAAACTATAATAAACTTCTCAATCTATTAAATGAATTTTATAAATGATGACTTTTATATTCTTTTTATATTTTTTATTGTCTATATTTATTTAAGTAGAGGTCACATTTTGATAACAGTGTTCTTGACACTGAAATGTTTTTAACCTCTGTAAGATTGATAATAATAATAATAATAATAATAATAATAATAATAATAATAATAATAATAATAATAATAATAATAATAATAATAATAATAATAATAATAATAATAATAATAATAATAATTATAATAATAATAATAATAATAACAATAATGAACAAAACTTGTTTTATTTTAACCAACCCTTTTAGTGAAGAAAACTGTGCTTAAGATGCAAAAACATGCATTACGCACTATTTCTACGATGTTTTTGCGATTAAAAACAGAGTTGTTTAAATATGTACCAAAATTGCCTTATTTTAACCATCTCCTTTTCAGTGAAGAATAACTGAGTTTAAAAGACAAAAACATTTATCATATTCTATTTTTAAGAAGTTTTTGTAGTAATTAATAAGAGAATTGGTTAAATATATACAAAATTTGCCTTATTTTATTTAACCCCCTTTTAGTGTAGAAAAACTGTGCTTAAGGTAGAAAAACATGTATTATGTACTAGTTACCCCCTCCTCGGATATAGTGTTAAAAAGGCACTGCAATCCTGTGCAACACTACAAAAAATTAGTGGAGATCCGTTAAAAGAAGCTTTGCAACGTGAAAATCAAGTGAAGTTTAATTAAAGAATTTGAAAGATGCTAATTCAATCGATCACGAAACGTATAATACGTACGGGTTCACAAATAGGTATACTGTATCGTCTTCCTAAAATACATAAATGTAATATTCCTATTTTTCCATTTATCACTATTCATGTAAACTTGCGAAATTTTTTGTCCCACTCATAAAACACCAAAAGCAACCTCGTCATCAAAGAGTTCTTCTCCTTTAATGAAGAAAGCCTTTATTGCAATATAAGTTGTAGCAATGTTGTCAGTTTTGACATGGTATCTTTGTTCACCAACATACCCGTAAATGAAACCTTCAGTCATTTGTAAATAATTATCCCAAATGTCTAGTGAGTGACAGTTGTAATACTTAATTAAAGTTTTCTGCAGTTTTCAATAAATTCAAAATGGCATTTCTAAAAGTGATTTAAGTAAAATTATAATGAGCACTAACTCATGCAGCTGTTAGATTCGTCGGTACATAAAATTGTTTTCATCAACAGCGACTACTGTAAATAAAACAGAAGTCAAGTTCTTATAACGCACATGATGGGTGTATCTATTTTCTTGTATTTAAAATAATTTCTTTTGCATGCATATCTATTGTGCAGCTAAAAAACAAATTGTAAAATTAAATTTATTGTAACGTTTCGTCTTTACTCAAGACATATTCAGACAAATAATAAATAAGATGTTAAGACAAGATATTATATTTACAAAAAGGTGTTAAATTACTACTAAAGGAGGCGGTGTCAAATGGATATATGATAAGGAAGTTAGGAAGTAAAATAAAAGCAAATTAAAAGATGTTAAGTGGAATGGAGTTTCCTTACACATTAAGTGAAAGCTTGTATTTATTGATTAGAAGGCTATCATGAATGGAGAGTTCATAAGAATCGTTAGAAGAGGAGATTATTTTAAAGTCGTCTAAAATGAGGGTGTGTCCAGTTGCGTTAATGTGAGCAAAAATGCTTGATAACGCAGGGTGGGAAACTTGGTTGCCAGTAAGGGGGGATATTTCCAAGGGCTCCGAAAATCTGGTGTGTAGATGACGTGTGGTTTGACCCACATACGAGGCGTTGCAGCTTCGACACTTGAATAAATAGACTACACCAAATCTCAGAGATTTTGTCCTTAAAGGGGAAGAAAGAAGAGATACGTTGGGAAGGGCGGAAAACAAATTTAATAAATATATGTGGGAAGGTTGCAGCACAAAGGCTATTGTTTTGTGTGCGAATTTGAAGGGAGTGTATGCCGTTGAAAGGAAGACAAAAATAGATGGGCATTATGTGAGCAGTCAAGACAGGTGGTTTTGGGGCAAAGGTGTTGTTAAGGAAGCGACGTGTGATTTGGTCAATTGTTGTTGTTGTTCGTCCATCGCAAGCGATGATGACCT